GGAGATCCATGTTTAATGGAGAAACCCAAAATTCAAAGTCCAAAGAAGAATGTTCAAGAGTTTAAAGGAGATGTCAAGAAAAGGATTCTAACCCAAGGAAGGACGTGTAATGATCGTAAGGAGCAAGTGTTTGTTCAAGCTAAGTGGAGCCCGAAGAACACTGCAAGGGATCATGAAGAGCCTCGGGAGAATCAAGATAAAGAAGACATGCTTGGAGTTGAAGATCACCCGCAATCCAACTCGAAAATTAGGGGGGTGATTGTTGACTAATTATCGAGTAGGATTAGGATTACCCGAGATATTCTAGTTCAAGTAGGAATAGAATTATGGATCCTAGATTACTTGTTGGCCAAGTTGGGTTAACACTATATATATCATAGCCAAGCCTTGGGTTTTGATATATATAGTATTAACCCAACTTGGCCAACAAGTAATCTAGGATCCATAATTCTATTCCTACTTGAACTAGAATATCTCGGGTAATCCTAATCCTACTCGATAATTAGTCAACAGTTGCAATGTTACAAGTGCAAATTTATGCATGAAGAACAGTGATGCATATAAGCCCGTGCCTAGTCTTCTAGTCTTACTAAAAGCTAATGGAGAAATCCATCCCAATTTCAGAGCTGAATTTTCCCGCCATATTTGTCAATTCAATTAAGGGTGGGCACGGATCGGGACGGTCCGAATTTTAGGTTGTTCCGGTCTTGTCCCGTTATATATAAATGGTCCGGAACGGTTCGGATTGCAATCTTATCTCGGTTTGTCCCATAAAATTCGGGACCGGAACAAACCGGAACAGATTCGGGTCGTCCTACTTTGTCCTAATCCCAAATATAAGAGGGGGGTACTCAATCCAAAAGTCACAAAATGTCATAGATAAAAGTCATTAACTTCCTAAGACATCAAAAAACTAGTTGTATTCATATACACCAAGCAATTAGCTACTGTCATTAAAAAAAACAAAAGCAGTAGGTAGTATTGAAGTTAACTTAATTAATTAAAGAATAAGTGTATAGAATTAGAATTATATATTAATAAAATAGATAAAACGGGACAAACGGGACGGATCGGTATAAATTTAAGTTGTCCCGCTCATGTCCCATTTGATAACGGGACAGAACGGGTTCGGGATAAAAAAGTTGTGTCCCAATTATTCGGTACATTTACAAAACGGATTCGGGATTTTTTGGAACGGTCCAACGGGAACGGATTTCGTGCCCACCCCTAAATCCAATGGCTGTAAATAATAGGTACACATGGCAGCAGCTCATTAAATCTCTGTGTATAAAATTATACAATCAATTATGGACAAAAGAAAACTATCCCCACAGCCAATAAGATTACTAATGTACAAACAAATAAGCTGCCAGTGCAATGAAAGTTGCAGATAATGTCCTGTTCCACAGAATGCCTCCTCCACAGAATCATCTTCCTTGAATCTTCCATGCCATTCCCACAAAATAGCCCAGGCTTAGGCAGTGTTCATGAAGCTCAGAGTTGGACACCAAAAAAACTACATTAGACTACAGTTTATACAACTCCATTAATTGTAAAATTTTATATTTCAAGGCTCAGAATATATTTCCCATTGCTACAGAGAAAACGATAAGATCGCCATGGCTGCAACCGCGGTGGCAAATTTACGGCTAGCCTCGCCAAGATACGAATCATTTGATGAAATATTTGTTATCAGAAAATCACATAAAAAAATCGCCACAGCCTCATTCAAATGTTGATTCAATGTCACCAGACCTTATAAATAAGTTTATATTATGTTTTCAAAAAGTAGAAATTTTCTTTAGGCTCGGAATTCTTTTCCATTGCTACACAAAAAGATACGATTGCCATGGCTGTAACCACGGCGTCAAATCTTTTGGATAAGCATTGGAAAATACACAACAATATCGTCACAGCCTCTTTAATCTCACGGAATCAGTTCATTAAAGCATGTGTAATTTCCAGCAAATTGCCCATCACTAGATGGGCTATAAAGAGTCTCAGACTTTAAAATATTTTTTTACTATCACAGCAAAGAGGATATTAAAATGCCATGGCTGCTTCTCGATGCCTACAAAGCCACGCCAAGATACGTCTTATCCCCTTTTTTTCAGTACACAAAATCACAAAACATATAAAAAAGATCATCATAGCCTCTTTAATCTCCGTAATCAGTTCATTAATGCAATGTGTAATTTCCAGTAATTTGCCCATAACTACATGGGGATAAAGAGGCTCAGAATTTAAAATATTTGTTTACTATCACAACGAAAAGGATACTAAAACTCCAGGGCTGCTTCTCGATGCCTACGAAGCCACGCCAAGATACGTCTTATTCCCTTAAGTTCATTAAACACAATATCACAAAACATATAAAAAAGATCATCACAACCTCTTATTTATTAAAACCATTCCAGCCTCAGATATAGAAATATACCATTGCTGCAAAGAAGAAATGAAATCAATTAATCACATAACCTACAAGGAACATGGTCCCTCTAAGACCTTACAAATATTCATGACAACTGGTAGATACCAAAACAGTCAGATCCCACCTGACCACCATGCATGTATTATAGCATTCAACTCATAGGACTTAAAAAACATCTCTTCTTTGAAATTGGGGACTTTCAATTGTAACCCAATATATTCCTATGGGTGTATAAATACCCTCCTCCTGTTACACACTACACACCTTTCCACTTTACTTATATAGTACTCCCTCCGTCCCATAAAGTGTTACCCATTTTGACTAAAGTTGAAATTTAGGGAGAGATAATTTTGTGTTGACTTTACAAAAATACCCTTGATGTGATGGGTAAAAGTAGGATGTGATCTGTAGATTATAAGAAAGAAGGTATGATGTGATATGTAGGGTTTGAAAAAGTAAGGGGTAAAAGTGGTTTTTTAATAGAAATGGGTAAGGGATTGTGGGACGCAAATTTTTTAAAACGTGTAAATCTTTTTGGGACGGAAGGAGTATATAGTATATAGTATATAGTATATAGTATATATAATATATATATATATATATATATATATATATATATATATATATATATATATATATATATATATATATATATATATATATATATATAGTATATTACCTTAAATTTCTTTTCTCTACTGTTTTCTAAGAATAAGCGTTATATTTTTCAAAAAATGCCTGCCCTTTGGACAAGGTTGATGGAACTAAAACCATCTTCATTTCGGGCCAATTCAAAACTAAGATTATTTCGTTCCTACGATCTCATGTCCTACAGGAATGATGGAGAAATTTATGCTCGGTGAAGAATTATGATTTTCATTAATTGAAAGAGTTGTGATTACATGTATATATATAAGGGGAGTCTCAATCCTAATCAAAGTAGGAGAGACACAAGTAAGGAAACCTATACAAATAAGGTAAGGGAATAATACAATATATTAAATATATACAATATATTTAACACTCGGGAGTGTATTTTTCACGACAATGAGGTATTTTTCAATAGACTTTTGTTTATTATCCACTTTTCCCCAAAGATTTTAATTTTATGGAAAAAAAATTCAGGGGAACCACATCCTTGCAATCTATCAAAAGGAGGAAATACCAGTCTTTGGAGCAACTCTAAAAGAAGGGAAGTTATATCGAATAAGTAATCCTGCAGTTCTATCAAATAACAAACCTACCATTGTTTCAAACAAATTTAAGCTTTCACTTGGTAAAAGGACAACCATTACTGAGATTGTGGATGACCTATTCCCTAAGCATGTATTCAATTTCAAGCCATTTGGGGAGATAAATGCCCTGCAAAATTTTGAAAAGGCTCCAATGTTTGGTAATTAGTTTACTGATTTTCTCATACCATTAACTTCTTTAAACTCATGAGTCCATTTTAATTTTAGTAATAATATAAGATATTTTTCCTTGAACAGATGTAATTGGGGCCCTGTTTCTTAGTGACCCAGCAATCACCAAACCAATAAATGGTAAAGAAACCCTCATCATGGATATTAGCTTGGAAGATTTGGAGTAAGTACTTTACCAAATTCATTATCCAACTTTGTTTTAATTTAAACATTTGACAAGTCTAATGTTTAAATAACATTACATATGTTTATAGGGGGGAAAGAGTTGCATGCACTTTGTGGGGAAAAATATGCATCAGATCTTATGAAATTTGTGGAAAAAGGGGCAGTGCAACCAGTCATAGTTATTATTCAGTTTTGCAAGGCAGGGAAATATAATGGTAAGCTTTCTTTGAAATAGAAATTAAAACACAACATTCCTGCCCTAAAAATTTACCCCAAATTAAAATACAGAACAATATTTCAATTAAATAGAAATATTAATCCTAAAAATTAAATAACTTACTTAAATTACTTCACATCATTTCCTTAAAATTTCTCCTGGAACAATTAAAAAATTAATCTCTAGGGTACATTACCTAACTTTGAAACGTTGATATAAAACTAAACATAATATAATGAAGTAATACCTAATTACTAAAAATATTTAATGAAATTATGAAACTGAAAATTTAAGTCCATTTAGCAAGGATGGGTGAGATGCTGTTAGGAATGATTTATTCAATCCTGAAAATTTTTTCTCAAATACGAAAGGAAGGGATAAATTCAAAGGAACAGTCTAAATAGAAATTATGTTGGGGAAATTAATGATAACTTGGATGAATCGAGAGTTGTGTAAACACTTTCAGATTGAATATTTTGGTTGTTCACTCCAAAATTCAATCGGATAAAACTCGAAAGTATCAAGAACGAAATATGAGGATTGCTATATAAATCCGAACTCAAATCCGACCAAGGCTTGCGGGAATTTATAAACTTGCGGCAGAGGGAGAAGACGCCTATCGCGTCTCTTTCCCAAGTTACGCAATCCTTCGCGCGGAAGTTCTCCAAAAAAACGGTGCTATCCAATCGGAGGTTTTCTTTTAAAGAAAATCCGAAAATTAAAATTCCAATTGGATTTTTTTAACATCTCGACCCCAGCCAGGGGCTCTGCCCCTTGGACCCCGCAGGGGCTGCCGCCCCTTGAACCCTGCTCGGGGGCACTGCCCCCGAACCCCCGCCAAGGGGGCGCTGCCTCCTTGGAACCCCCGATGTAACAGGATTTTTATCGTAACAAACTCAATGAAGCGTGCACTCCGCACCACCAAACTTCGTTGATGATTATTAGGATACCATTGGTCATAGTTTTTCCAATTACACTAAAATATATAACAAATTAAACATACAATCTGGTGGTATTGCAACAATTTCAAAGCTCAAGTTTGATTTCATTACTTTGGCGCGAGTTTTGAGTCCCAAAAAAGAATCTATGTCAGAGTTTAATTCCCAGAAATACATAGAATGTTTTGTAAAACGAATCATGAAACTAATATGAAATATAAGGAAGCCAAAGTATATTTGAAGCTAATATGAAATTATAGTGTCAAGATCTATATACATTTTCAACAAAAAAAATTCAGTGAGATCTATGAAGATATGTTCTAGAAATAAAAATCATGCATGTTAATTGAATCAATATTATACCTTTTTCGAGGCAAAACAAATGGTCATAGATCGGAGACCCCCTTAAAGGTCAAAATTTTGATCAAAATTGAAACTTTTCGGATCTAGATGCAGAGGTGTAGAAGAAGAGATAGAAGAGATGTCAAAAGGGAATTACCATCGGAAATGAGGAGCGAAGAAGAGATCAAAGCATATTGGACCAAGCTACACTTATACCAAAAAATATACCCCATTTATACACCACAGACTTGCACAAACATTTCGATGGTTTACACCGACACAAGTGTTGGTGCGTTAATAAATATTCACACAGACACAAAGGTTGGTGCGTTTAACAAAAATTAGTTTTACACCAATACAAAGTATTGGTGCAAAACTGCGGGGTACAAATTAGGGTACAAACTTTGGGGTACACATAGCATAATCCAAGCATATTCATGTAGGAGCGAAGAAGAGATCAAATAGATGGATCATTTTATTCTGTCTGATTGTTTATAATCCATATATTATTTATACATAAATAAGAATTACTTTATAAAATTATACATTATTGTAACATCAACTATTGTAATTAGCTATTAAAAATTTTGAGAAGATTATAATAAAATAAAAATAAATTATTTTTTAAAAACTTTTTCATCATCATAATATGTTTGTCAGAATAAAATAATACTACGTGTAGTGCTCAATGCCATAAGCAATAAATTTGTTTTTACAACTAAAACGGTTATTGTCTCTCAACTATTCTTCTTGTATGTCTAGTTCATCAATGAAAATAAAAAAAATACAAAAGAAGAGATTATCTAAAATTTAAAGATAATTGAAAAATAATATTTTTAAACAACAGAGTCTTCCATTTCAACTTCATTATCATTAAAACCTTCCTCATTCTCCTCATTAGCATCATTTTGTGGTCGATCGCCCCACATAGCTTCAGCAATGCCATGTCTCCAAGCATTAGCTTCTGTTCTTTGTTGTTGTTGAGTTTGAGAAAGTATATCAAAATTTTCTTCTTCCATGTTCAGATATGATGAAGAAGACGACTTTAGTTCTGGTTCTGGAGGAAATTCATCAGAACGATACTCTTTACGAAGAAAGTTGTGTAGTCCTGAAATGGTGCTGACGAAGATTGAACAACTCATTTGCATTTCGGGGGTGACGACCTTGACCTCCAAAATCTTTGAGATGATATCGGACACCTCGAAATGATGCTAAAAATTGTCGTGGATTAGCAAATCCACAGTCAACCAAAAAATATTTTCCTGAAATAAAAGTAGGATGACATATACCCATAACAAACATTTTAATGTAAGTACACTTAAAGAAACACAAGGTATATTTGTTCTTTGATCGTTTTGGATTTAACAAGAATAAGTAGACACACAAGATAAGTGGATAATAAGTAAAAGAAAACTCAACCACAGATATATTTGTTCTTTGATCGTTTTGGTTTTAAAGAAAACTCTTTCTGCAGTTTATTGTTATTATCCAAACAAGATAAGTACACACACACATTGATAAGTGAACTCAACCAGGCATAATGAATTTTTATCAGGAAAAAAGTATTACAGAGTACATACGCCAATGTAAAAAACAGAACAACCAAGCACAACACAGAGCACTTATAATGGCCATAAATATCATTTCCCAACTGGAATAATGCATATAAAATTGAATCCCAAAACAAACAAGACTAACCCACAAATAATCTTTGAAATAGATTCTAACAATTCTTTAACATATTAAGAACAACTCTTCTTGACATTTCTTCAAACACATAGAGGGTATAACCATATTAACCTAGAAATCTATAATTGAACACACTAAAAGAGAATAAAAAAGTCAACATTCTCAAAAAAAACACACAAACACAAGTAGAAGAAGAAGGCAAAGGGGACAGAGATGAAGAAGGATAGTATTAAGAGGACATACCAGGAGAGATGGAGAAAAGAGGAAGAAAGGGAAGGAGATGAGGAGTAAGAGGCGGAAGCTCTACCGGAAAAGCAGGAGATCGAGAAGATGAAGATCTGCCGGCGGAAAAGATGGAGAAGATGAACCGAGAAAGAAACCGGCTCTGGAGTGTCACAAAATCCCTGGCCTTTTGAATGGATTTGGAAGCAATTTTTTTTATTTATACTTCAACCTCACAATCCATCAAAATCCATTGTTTATAACAATCCTTTAAAATCTGTCAATTTTTCAATATCATTAGATTTAGAAAGATTTTTTAAAATCTCAATTGAATATCTCAAAATTTTAAATGACTTTTCAAAATCTTGATTGAATACTCATTGACTTTTAAAATCCAAAAACATCCTGCAGAGTCGGAATTGAATACACCCCTCTTAGGGTAAGGAGGAGAGTATGTTAAGAGGCCAAATATATGGGCTTAGGCCTGAGCCTATTTGAAAATTGGAATTGGGCTTGATCCTGATTTTCTTTTAAATAATCTATTGTGTGAGGTTTAGGTTCAATGGCCTAATGTTTATTAATACACATTTCTAATGTTTCAATATTTCTATTTATAATTTTTAAAATATTTATAAAGTTATGTACTAGTAATATTTAGTATTTCTTCTTTCTATACAAAAATTAAGGTTTTTTTAATAATAATATTTAGCGGTGAGCAAATTAACCAGATCGATTGCAAAAACAAAAACCGAAAACCAAAATAACTGAAAATTCGGTTTTGATTTCAGATTTCATGAAAAAAGTATTTTTGGTTTTTCAGTCGGTTTTTGGTTTTTTGTAACAAAAAACGAACCGACCGCACCGATGATTTTATTTTAATTTTTTTAATTATTTTTTAGAATAAGAAAATATTTGATTAACACACATGCTTTGTTCTTACTCTTTCATGAAAAACTTTAATGTTTGACTTTTAAAAAAAATATTTGTTAATGTTTTGAACATATTAATAAGAAAAGTACAACTTTTATATGTTATGGATAGTGTATATTCAAATAAAAGTTAATCTACCTCACTAAATTAATGACAATAGAAAAGTCTTAATCTAAACTAATTTAATACATATCAATCTACCTCACCGAATTAGTTTCTTAAATTTATACTAAAAAGTGAAAATAGAAGTAATTAAAATTCGGTTTTTTGATCGGTTTTTTGTTGTTTGGGCGGTTTTCGGTTTCGGTTCAGTCGGTTTTCAACCATGTTAAAAAAATCGGGTTTTTTGGTTTCAATCCGAAACCGACCGTTGCACAGCCCTAATAATATTTATACAGGTAATGTGCAAATAATTGTATATGACTGTTGACTTCTCAAAGTATTCATCAATCAAGTTTATTGCACAGACGGATATCATTACACATTTGTAAAGTTGTGATATTTCTACTTATAATTTTTAAAATATAATTTATTTTTTTTAAAGAATATATTACTAATTTTTAGCATTTTTTCTTTACCATCTCTATTGACACCTCATAAAAGCTTACAAGATTTATTGTTTGGAGCCCCTTGCAAGCATAATCATTTCAAAAAAAAATCGTGCCTACAACAATATGTTTTGATTCACTTCAATGGGTGGAAAAGTTGACCATTCCATGAATAACAGAGAAGGGTCACCTACTTACACTGTGAATGGACAGAACTACCATAAAATTGAGACATTCCTTCCACGAGAAGTGCAAAATTCATAAGTTGATATAGTGGTACATTTATGATACGTCGAACAAGGTCAACAAAACGATTAAATCAAACAGGTAGACGTGTAAATTAATGTATTTGTAATACATTTTTTAACAACTATTTACTATGTGTTGTATATGCAAAATCAGGATGGGTGATATCGTCTCACAAGGGATTAAAAATAATGATATGTAATTATTAAATTAGTCTATCTAACACTATAATGAATGGAGTTTATAAAGAGGCCTTTGACAATGTATGATTGATGTTAATGTACACAGTTTATTTTTCTTCAGATGCTGTATATGTATTGAATATTGTACACTCTAAAACTCACTCTTTTATGTAAGTAGTTTTATTTAAAATAAACGAACAATAAGATATATAAGCGGAAGATGGACATATCTATTATTTATTAAATACGATCCAGTTACCATTTTTTTGTAATTAGAATAAGTTTTTTCGTTCCGTGCATCGCACTAGTTTGTTTCATAAAAAGGCAATAAAATGATAAAAATCATACGAGTGTACGATGTTCAAAATAAGGGAATTGATATGTAGGGAAAAGTGACCAAGCATATATTCAACCACAGATATCATATCTGGGAAAGATAAATTCTTTTAGATAAGCTTATCCAAGTAAATCCAACCCATGGATCATTAAGGCCATGCTCTTTTCAATTTTTTATTCCAAACTCCACTTAAAATCTATTTTTGTCTAGTGAAAAGCACTGACCAGTGGCTTTAAATAGGGCTCATAGAGTCCCCAAAATAAGTGTATTACTGGCAATTCATGTTTAAATTCCTTGATCATGAAATATAAGCTTGCAAACAATATGCATATGTATTATCAAACACTATCTTTACCAGTCCAATAAATCGGCAGACATGAAGGCCTGAGAGAAGAAAAAAGAATTTCCTAATTGTATTGCTGGTCTGATAAACACAGTCGAGGCCTAGGCGAACTAAGCATGGTGCCCGGTTTTTTTGGAAGAACAAGACTCAACAGAGAGCGAGTGAAATTAGAATGGCGCGTAAACGTGTGTCCAAATTCTGCCACGGAATATATTTGTCTGTTGCAGATCGGCAGTTTTCTTGTAGTGATAATAAAGGGAGAATATATTTCTGTATTGAATTGCCTTGTGAATACAAAGATCTAACCCTCTTTATATAGGAAGAGGGTAAAGCAAACAAAGAAATTTCAATTCCTACTAAAACAGAATCAAGCAAACTAGGGAAGATACTAAACCGAAAGATTGGACAAAGCTTGAGGAAGTCGCTGCCATCGTTGTCCAAGTGCCATCTGTACACTTAGTTTTTTTCTTCAACAGAGACGCCAAGCTTTTCGAATCTGTCGAATAATCAGTCGAGTAAAGGAACGCCATTCTTTTTGAACCTTCACCGTTTTCGAATGAACTGGGGGAACGTCATTCTTTTCGAACACCCTGAACGCCAAATTTTTTTACCGTCCACAAAGGAAAGAGTTGTGTGTCTCTGTAGAACAACTCTTGTCGGACAACTTCTTCAAGATTGATGGTTGGGCGGGATTCCTCGACAGCAATGTTCTTTGTTGAAGGAGTTCATGACATTCTTTAGTGACGGAGAACAATAAAAAATTACAATATCCCACTGGTAGGCATTGAATTGTGTATGCCCACCGGCAGCCCGACAGGGGAAGAAGCGTGTTTGAGGTTTCAAGAATTCAAAACTTGCTCTGATATCATGTAGAAAATAATAAGAGAGAAAATATTTTGTATATTGAATTGGCTTGTTGAATACAAAGGATTGATCTCCTTTTTATAAGAGGAGAAACAAATCAAATAAGTAAACTACCATAATTTTACTCCTAACATAAATCTATTCCTACCACAATAGAAATTATAATCAATAAGGAAACAAAAGAATCCTTTCCTTTTTGTGTCAGGACTCACACGTCCCAACATTGATCTTTTGCTTCCCCATTATAACTCTTTTCCAGTATTTAAAGTCTAGACGTCGGTCATTTTTTCTTCCGTCGTTGTCTAGTAAATGGTTTCCCTGCCGCTGATGGGCTAGCAACCAAACAAGGACTGATACACTATTGCATGGAAAAAGCTTTCTAACCCCAAAACACAAGTTTAATCTCAGGCTGATATGTGGAAGTAGTCTCCAAGCTAAAAGAAAACTTGGGGAATCTCTGGGCATATATACTAATTAATGTCCTCTGTTCCAAATATAAGAGGATTAGAGGAAGATTGCCAACATGTCTTCTGTGACTGAGTACACAAAAGCAGTATACAACAAGAAGATTGGTGAGTGGGCAAATTTCAATTTGGTGGATTTACAATTGATACATTCCTCACAAAACTCGACTGGAAGAGAAGCCCGAAACATAAGGAAACAAGTGATGTTGAGAATATGACGATGTTTAGATTCAATCCGCTTGTTCTGTTATGGCATACCAACAGAAGAAGTTTGGTTATTGGGATGCAAGCCGGCAGATACTCTTATTCAATCCAACTATGATCTCGCTTGTTCCACTAGAGTTAAGAGACCCAACTCGTAAACATCCTGTTGTTGGTTGGGCGACTATCACTAGGCCGGTTTGTTTTTCTCTTTTTGCAAATACTAGCATTACACTCGTGCGCTGCACGGGTCATTTTTATGTTACTAAATTAATATCATTTTTCAATGCTAAAAAATGAGATGTAATATAATGTAGATATGATATTATTGTATGGTACTCCCTCAGTCCCAAATTATAATGCATGTTCACTATTCACAAGGTCAAACTTCATTGACTTTCTTTCTCTATTTTCGTTAGCAATTTGATAAAATAAAGTAGTATGATAACTACTAGTTTTGTAGATCTTTTGATGTAGTATTTTAATATGTAATTTATATAAAATGATTTGAAAATAATTTCAGTCAAACATCGTAAACCGAAACAGGCGTTATAAAATGGGACGGAGGGAGTACAAAACATTTTTGCTTTACAAACTTTGGAAGACTTCTAAACAAATTTGCTTTATAAATTTCAAAAGACTTATTTACATTTCTGGTTTAAAGAAGTCTTTCGAAATTTGTAAAGCAAATTGTACGAATAATGCAACGAAGACAATGTTCCTACAAATTGTACGAATAATGTAGTATATAAAGAAATCTTTAAAAATACTAGGGAGACCCATGTACCAAGTGTGCTGCAAGTTGAAGGAATTGAAGGGGCATCTGAAAGGGCTACATAGAAATAAATTTGGGAGGACATTTTAGGATGTAGATGCCATCAGGACCAAGCTGCATATTACCCAAATTGAATTGAAATTAAACCCTATGAATGAAGAATTGATTAAGGAAGAGAGCACTCTGATCCATAAACTGCAAGGAGCTATGAAGGCATTTCTTTTTATGATGAGTCAGATGTATAAAAGGGATTGGATTACTGAAGGGGACTTAAATTCTAAAATGTTCTTCTCGTGGCT